CCCCCCTCCCTCCCTGTCTGTAGCCCCTGCTGAAGAAAGAGGATTCCAGCCTGTTGTCCCCTCTCTCTGACCCAGTCCAGCCCCGTCCGTGGCTCTGCATATTGGGCATCTGGGATCCATCTCCCTCCTGAGCTAGAAGCCCAGAGGTGGAGGCCTCACTGGGGTAGGGGGGCAACAGCCTGCAGGCATTGCATATTTGGTATTTTACTTACAGATTTATGCATGGAATTTAATGTAGTACAAGCTTCAGGCTTTTTTTAAAGCTTTCAGGTGCTTTGTTAGCTTTTGGCTCCTTTTGTAGCATGGCCATTTCCTTGGCTGAAGGTGGATATTCTTTTACCTTTCTCGGATCCTGGGACCTTTTAAAATCCCCAACAACGAGAAAGTTGTGCAGTTTAAGTTAACCAGTATCTAAATAGATTTTTGCATGAGTTCATGTTCCAGGGTATTTATTTGACGTGTGATTCTGTATATACCCGTGCACTCATGTCTGTCTCCATGCATGTGAAAACAGGAGAGAATTTTCATTTTGTGTCTAGGTTTGTGTGAGTAAGCAAAAAATAAACCTGTATTGTTTTAAGCCACTGAGATGTGGGGATTGTTTGCTACCGCAGCCTAACCTAGTCTATCCTGACTGACAGAAAGGACTTGTTCAATTCACTTCCCAAAGTGAAAATCAGATATTCAGTAACTACCACAAATAACTACAAACTTGGATGTCTTTTTATGGCCAGATAAGAAAGAGTGGTAGGCAGACACAGTAGGTGATTCACTGACTCAATAATTAAGTGACTGCTCTGTGCCAAGCATGGACAGTTTCCAGCTGCCCAGAGGGGCACAAGTGGAAATACCTACAGGGCCAAGCAGATCATATAAATGAGTAAAGAAGGCCAGAGGAGCCCTAGAAAACTGAGAATGCATGCCCTACCTAAGAAGGCAGCTTCCTTTTGGCCCTAGTGGATTGTCGCCAGGCAGGAACGTGGGCTCCGGATTGCCATATCTTCTGATTTTTCACGAGAAGCTGGAAAACTAGATTTCTTTTTAAAACATCTTAATTTTCAAATGTTGGCTCAGTTTTCTTCTTTAAATCCTGTGTAGGTCAAACAAGACATATTTCAGGCCAGCTTTAGTCAGTGGAATGTCAACTTAATGCTAATCTAACGTAACATTTTTCAAATGGGGAGACTGAGACCAATCAGTACAGGAAGAATCAAGTTAGTCTTTATCAAGGGTTTTTCCCGAGCTAGAGAGATTCATGTATCTAAGTTCTGAAGGACCTATAAAATGTTAGTGACAGTTATTATCATTTATTGAGTACACACTATGCAATTCACATATATCCTCACAGCAACTCTGTAAGCTATGCACGATTACTCCAATTTTACAAATAAAGGAACACCTTAGAGAGATAAAGTGACTTGCCAAGTATTTTAGGGAAAATTTGTAGGCAAATATTGGAGAAAGGTTCCTTCCTTGCCAGGCCCCAAATCAATTAATAGGTAATTTTTATAATACATAGAGTGAAAAATTCAGGACTCCAGGAGACAGACACAAGTCCCAAGCGTTTTTCAGAAAGTCTTTACTTTTCTACTCAGGATAGCAGTAAGTAGTAATGTCTTACTCACATTTGTTTCTTAGTCTTCTGCTGTCAAGTCCTTCTCCTTGAACTGTTCCAAGCACGTGAAGACCTGGTGAGCTATTCCAAAGATATGAAGGCTCGGAGACCCCCATCCCCATTCCTACTCTTAGAAGGGCCAAACAGAAAGTTCAAGGGACGTGCCTGATCACTGATTCTCTTTCCTAATGTTACCTACACCTCTTTTTATTCAAGATAATTGATGGTGATGGCATCCAATTACAACTTGCTCTTTTCTAGTTTGGGGCCTTGAGAAGGTTGAGCTGCTTCTAATTCTAACAGATTACAGAGCAACAAATCTCCAACACTTCCTGGGACTCAGTGCAAGATAACCAAAGACCAGAGTCTGCTTCACACCTTCCTTCCCTGACCTTGTTTTAACTTAGATGTGTGATTGCCCCTTAGTAGACCTGCCTAAACCTTGCTGTGCCATGCTCTCCCAGTGACAGAAAACCAAGCCCACGTAGTCAAGGGGGGAGGGAAGCATTGCAACATGCAACGTGGCTAAGACCCTGCTACTCAGGGCTGACCAAAGGTCCCCAGTACACCAAGCTCGCATAGCTGGGAAGAGTAAAAGAGAAAGTATAATTTGAGGTTAAAGGATGACATGAGAAAAGGGAGGGGAAAAAAAAGTGATGGAGACTGGAGGAAGGAGCTGGGGGCAGGCCACTCTTTACAGACCATTTCTCTGCAGCCCGTCTCCCCTTCTTGTCAGACCTGGCAGGGCTTTTTACACTACTGGCTAGGCCTACTTTGTCTATCAGATTGTCAGGGCTTCCCCATTGGTGCCTGAGAGAGAAGGGTGGAGGCTCTGCAGAGGTCAGCTGTGGGGAAAAGGGCACATTTACGAATTGCTCATGCTCCTCTGGCTGCAGCGTCCTTCACCTGCGGTTGTGGGGAGCCAGCGGGCCCTTGGCCTCTGACCAGCCTTTGGAGATTAAAGCCAATAGACTGTGAGCACTGTTTCTTGTGTCACTCCCTTTCCCATTACCCACTGCCAGGTGAGGAAAGGTGTTGCCCAGGTCCAATAGGGTATTGAGTAAATCATCCCTCTTCTAAGCTTCCTTCATGTACCATCCTGATATTCTGCAGAAATAACCAATGAGGTTCCCAATGTGAAGCACCATCCTGCTCCTCTCTCCAAACAAGTCTCCCCCACAAACACCCATGTTTCACTTCAGGAGCTCATCTTACATTCTGCCCTTTGGGAATCCATGCTTCCTTTCATGCCAGCCCTATGTGAACCTGTTCCACTCCAGACCACACTCCTTGAGCAGTGTAGAATCAACAGCATACCACCCATGCCCATCCAGTTTCTCTACTCAGACCGTCATTGCCTGGGCCATGTAGACCTCATTCTGTGTCCCCGTCCCATTGTGTAGCTGGCTCTGCAGCCGCCAATATAGACACATAGACAGTCCTATAACCCATGCCCTGCATAGACCCCCATCCTTTTCATCTGACTTAATGTCTCTGATAAGCCCCTTAGGTCGATTTCCTTACATTCCTTAGGGACCCTTGGCCCGCAGTTTGCAGGCCTGATCACCCTGAGCTGTGCCTATCTCTGTCCAACTATGTCTTCCCCTCCGAGAATAAGTACTCTCAGAGGGCAGGGCCTGCATGCAACTCCTCTCTGGGTTCTCAGAATAGATGACTAAGTAAACCACGCTGTCTTGATTCCTTAGGAATTTTTTTTTCCTACAGAGTTAATGTACTCTAACGTGGCCTCTCCCCTCATCACAACATAAACAACTTGCTACCCTCGAACCACTTTTTAAGAGGTGGGGTGTTTTTTTTTCTTTTGAGTAGTTTTTAAGTTCACAGCAAAATTGAGCAGAAAGTAAGAGTTCTCATAGTCCCCCGGCCCTCCCACAGCCTCCCCCACTACCAGCATCCCACACCAGAGTGGTTCATTTGTTACACTGGCTGAATCTACACTGACACAGTATCGTTTACATTAGGATTCACATTTAAATGCTTTTTCCTTGGGCTTTACTGGTGGCGCTTGAGAGTCCGCCTGCTGATGCAGGAGACGCGGGTTCGTGCCCCAGTCCGGGAAGATCCCACATGCCGCGGAGCGGCTGGGCCCGTGGGTCTTGGCCGCTGAGCCTATGCGTCCGGAGCCTGTGCTCCGCAACGGAAGAGGCCACAGCAGTGAGGGGCCCGCGTACCGCAAAAAAAAGAAACCTGGAGTAGCGATACTCATATCAGATAAAAGAGATTTTAAAATAAAGAATGTTACAAGAGACAAGGAAGGACACTGCATCCTTGCAGCATTAGCAACTTTATCAAACCACAGGTGTGTTCTTTGTGTTCTTGGGTGTTGGACCTTAGAAGGATTAAACTAGATAATGCATGTAATACTACATAATGTTTACCTGTGCCTTGCACAGAGTAGGCACACGAAAAGTATTTGTTGATAGAATTAATATGTGTGCACTAACTGCGAAGAGACTCAGGCGCTAGGAGGCAGAGCTGAGCTTCTCGGAAGGTCCCGCCTCTGCCCCTTTGCCCCTGACCTTATCTGCTCCCCGCCTCCAGTGCCTCATTCCCACTCCGCTCTCCTGGGCTGTGGTGAAGCAATTTCCGCCCTAAGAAGGGTGCGGCTTCCGTCCCCTTCCGCTCTCGCGAGTACTGCTGGTTGAGGAAGGGCAGGTGGTGGCCACATTTCTTCGCTGCCCTTCCCCTGCTCTCCCGGTCACAGTTCCGCCCTTACTAGCCCCACTTCCGGCCAGAAAAGCCACTTCCACCCTGAAAAGTGGTCGTCCCGCTGGTGGCGCCAGGAGTAGCCAGGTCTCTTTATTTCCTGCCCACCCATAACTTCCGCCAGGAGATACAGTCTCCGCCAATGTTTGTTCCATGCACGATCAACGCAAACGAAGCTAGATTCCCTCCAACTCAAGACTAGAGCTCCTCACTCACGCTGCAGGAAAAGGAAGGGCGGGGAGGAAACAAGCCTCCGCCCTCACGCCACACCCTCCCACGTTCACGGAGGGGAAGCCACATTTGCCCTGAGAGAGGCGCGGCCGCTTTTTTTCCTAACCCCGTTCTCGCGAGATCTCGGAACTCTCGCGATAACCAACGCCCGACTTGTGCGGCCGGGAAACCCCGTTGCTCCCTTTTCCCTGGCTGGCAGCTTGGAGGCCGCACGGTAAGCCGAGTGCTCCGGTTCCGAACCGGTTGCGGGGTGTCGGGGCCCGATTCCCGAGCCCGGAGCGTGTGTCTGGGAGCTCCGGGGTACCCGCGCGGGGCCGCCCCGCCCCCTGGAATTGCGGCCACGTGCGAGCTGCAGGCCCGGGCATGTCTGGTCCGCGCGCTCCGGGAACCGAGGCTGGGCCTGGTGGGCAGCGGGGAGTGCGGGGGACCCCAGAATCAGGGGTTGGGGTCATACAGCGTCTTCACAAACGGGGGCAGGCATTGTTCGTGCCACCCGGAGAGACCGTGGGCGTCAGTGAGTTCTATAGGACCCTCAGGCGTAGGGGTCTTTAAAGCGGGGAATT